TCATAAATAACGCAATCTTCAGCAGATTTGCTGCGAAATGCATAACGCAGATATTCCGCGATTTCATCCCATAATGCCTGGGTCTTAAGGCGCCATCTAGGTGGCGTCACTGCATGCCAAAACTGGGTCGCCGCTGGTTGACATAGCTTTGCCGCGGTGCCTCTTGACCATTACGCTTATCGTTATGATATCTCCTTTATTTAGTTTCTCGAGATGTTCATGAAAGAATTACGGTACTGAGCATTCGTTTGTGTTCTGCCGTCTGGTTGCTTACAAGTTTGAAAAGTCTGAATTTTTCCGAATCTCGTTTTCCTTCTCAAAATCTGTTGGTTTATCCCAAACAACCACAATAAAAAGAGGAAGGAACAAACCTATTAATGTGACCAAGAATTCTATCAACCCGTTCTCCACTTTGCTGTGATCAGGCTGCATTTCGATCCATAGTGACTGTGTGTAGTTACAAATCTGAAGAGAAAAAGATTTCTGACGATACAACTGCCACTTTTGGCAACTTGCCATGCTGCTGTTTTTGTCAACAGATGGGCTCAGACGTTATCTTCATGGACCAATTCTCTAGCTCATAGAACAAACAAAACGTGATCATGTGTACTTCGAAGTTACCATGCTCTGGGCAACGTCAAAGTACAGAAGATCACGTGTTACTACTATAATTATTACAATGTATTACAACCAAGGCGCATGATTCAGAGTGATAAAAAAGAGGTCGGCGCATAGGAAAATTACTTGGACGGGTATTTGGCGTACCTACATTTGATGCTTGTAAACAATAAAACAACAACACCTGATAAATTCCGCAGCACATCAGGGACCACCATAGGGACCACTTTAGAACAGTCACATTGTCCTTGAATATACTGAAGCTTTTCAAAACACCCACTAAGCGAGTCCGCTGATCTTTTCCTAGTTTTTCATTTCCTGTTTCCTCTTGCCTAAAGACAAATAAATAAATAAGTGTTTCACATAGAAATAGTAATATTGATTTTTGAAAAAGATCGATACGTCAATTGTTCTTTTTGAGACCGGCCTTCGAATGTTAAGTCATCCATGGGCTCATGTAAAACTTGATTGAGAACACCTCGTGAAGGGACAGCTGGCAATGCAATGGCAATAAAGAAAACTATACAAACAGCAATCAAAGATATCTGAAAAAAGACGGACCTTTGGAAATCACTCACTAAAATTAATAAAATTCAAAAAAATTAAAAATTAGCGGCAGAATCTCACCTCGTTGAGGAGGAGATACGATCCGATGCCCGTTGAAATTAAGGTTTGAGCTAGGCCAAATCCTAGTAGTTTCCCTACGAGAGCAGCACTACGAGCATATGAGGTAACTTTACGATAATGCTTCTTGTCCACAACTGCATACATATAGGAGTAGTAAGCAACTTTCGAAGCTGATGCTACCCCTGAAGCACATTTTTAAAGTATGTTGTAAGCCTTAATTGTGGCCCTAGCTTTGTTAAATGAGTTAAGTTCGATTTTCTCTTGGAAGTTTTTTTACTGCTAAAAGTTCCCGATACTGGAGCCTGAAAAGGAGTACTTGTAAACGATCTTAGGGCGTAATAAGGGTCCTAAAACCGGCTCAGCCTACGAACACATAAAAATGCGGACGAATTCTTACGGCATGTAGAGGCTCCGAAGGTCGCATAATTCACACCGGGACCCACATCTTGCACGCAGGCAGCGTATAGCAGCCTGCTATATGCACTGGCGCGCGCATTCGGACAGCACGTTCGAATATCCACTCCATGCAACTTTTCTCGTCACATTATCAGTCAACCCCTGATTACACTTTTATTTGAGGCCTTAGATTTTTCTAAATGTGCTCATTTTTGCATTTTCTTCGTCACTTTTGCACTATCATGAACCATCACTTCCATTCACATTTATCACTCCTCTAGAATTAGATAGCCCCCGATTATCGTGAACTGTGGTTTTAGATTTTACCTCTCCCAAAAATAATGAAATCCGGGTCTGAACAATTATCCGAGGCCTCTACTAGTCACGTTGGGATTCTACACAGCTCATCTTTCTATGTTATTTTTCACCCATTTCTTTTTGACCCCGAAAAAGCAACTCTGCTGACTAACGCGTGAGGTTTTTCAGAAATCCTCTCCGCTAGGCATTCAGTCTTATTTTTGGTTAGACACCTCGATCGATAATCGATCAACCAAGCCTCCTCCCTATAGAATTGGCTGATTGTTACTGGACCCGTCTCAGAAAGTAAATAAAAGGAGTTGTACATCAGCTGACCCTGCAGTTCATTGCATTGAAGAGACACCCATTCAAACGTGATTACGATTCTGAATAGGATTCGGATGCGGTGGCGTATCCCTAATCGGAATCGATCAACTCTCAGACTTTCTTTTCAGTTTACAGTAGTGATTTGACAGGTTTCTGACTTGTGATAGTTACTGGAATTGGCTTACCAAAGAACATCTGCATCAATTGCATCTGCCGGACACCTTCACCCCATACAATAATTGCCCATGTAATTGAAAGGCAAGCACCCTCAAGTACAATGATAGGCTTATACCGGAGCATGTCCGTTAGAATAAATATAGGAATCTGCAAAAAAATTGAAAAATCACTCAATAACAGGGAGAGAGGGCAACAAAAAAGACCCACCAGAGAGAACATGTAGGAATAGGTCCATATCGGAAAAATCTGTCCATAAACTTCTTCTAGCGTGAGGTTCTTATAACTTGAAATAAGGAATGGCGTAAGGAAAGGTGTTGCTGGCCGAAATTCTTTTGTAATTCCATATATACAGAAAAGAATGGCGGTTTTCTTCCAGTCCATTGTGGCAATTGAAGGCGATTAGGTCCGGCCAGCCAGATTCATGACGCTCCAATGAGAGCTAATATCGGCTTGGTAGTTTACAAGTTTTCAGATATGAAGTAAAAGCCTGAAAGAAAAACATCAAGATGATAGTTCTCTTCAGCATGCTGACGCGAACGCAGCACTTACTAGTATAAGCTTTGAAACAGTAAAAATAATTTGTGGGTATTTGCACGAAAATGCTTTAAGGGGTCCAAAGGAGATGGCAGTGATCCGATAGCCAGGCTACGACCAGAGAAGCCATGAACTCCTCTTCGAGAGAGCATTCCCATTTGAGAAAACAGTGTCATTAAATGAACTATGCAGTTTACAAAGATGTCAGAATAAAGAGTAGTTGTTTACCAAACATCACAAAGCTGTAAAAATGAAAAGAATGTAAAACTTCATGAAGATAGGCTTTTTCAGCTAGGTATTTGCACTGGTTTGATAGTGTCGCACTGAAGAGACCCCACAAGTCTCACCCCGTTTGCTTTCTTACACTCACAATACACTTACTCACGTGTCACCCTTATGACATCATGAACGATATTTTCTCGTAGATTTTTCAAATTTTGAGGTTTTTTTTTTCAAAGACCCGCCTTTAAGGTGACCCAGGCAAGACAGGTGGCGTTAAATCAGGCAGCTTATAGCCCATTCGCTCATGGAGAGGGAAGGATTCGAGTCATGGCATTCGAGAGTGCAAGGTTGGGACGTCAAACGTCACAGATTACACTGAGAAATTCCGACGGAAACACTACACACATTCATGATACGGGAGGAGGTTGTGTAGTGGCAAATGACGCTCTATCGCTCATATATATGTACATGCATGCATCACACATGATCCAAGTATAGAGTACTGAATCGATACTCGCCCAAGCCAGACGAGCCTTAAATGCCTCTGGGGATCGGTATAAGACTTGTCTTGAAGGATAAAAGCACTGACTTAATATCGGCTGGACACCGGAAGCCATCGTATAGGTTGCATACGCAATCAACCGCCACTGCGATTCTGAATGGAAGTCGAATGCGAGGCGAATTCCAAAAACGGGAATGATTAACGCCAAAGACTTTACCCTTCAATCTTGTCTTTATGAAACGTTCTTATAGTGGGGAATCCTGTATCTCTTGTTACGAATAGTGTAAAGGTAAAAAAGTACTCGATATGAGAAGTAATTAACCTTTTTTCACTGAACAGAGGAAACAATGAAATTAAGGAAGCGGAATGTCAATTTTTACACTCGGGGTGCACCCCCTCTCTTTGCAATAACCATCCTGGTAACCCTTCCCTGAACTGAGCGAGACTTCGTGGCGTTATTGATAACGGTGAATGAGAATAGTAAAAAGAGGTTGATATGGGCAGCGCTGCTACAGGTGATCAGCATGAAGGACTCTGGTCTTGTTCTTCAGAAAGAAAATGAATTTGAGGCAGGAAAAACGGCTTACCCTTGCTGACCATTTCCCGTTTTACCTCGAAAAAGAATGTGAAAAAAATGTGAAAACAGTATCTCTGAAATGCCCGGCAAGGGAAAATATGTATGTGCAAAAGAATGTTTCACCTAAAAATTCAGTGACTTTTTCGTTAACAGTAAATTATTTTCTTCATACGGTCAAAAAAGTAGCCGCCTACCAAACATCAGAAATATGTCAGAACTGAAAAAAAACGCCCAAAATTTTCTTGATGTAATTTTTTAAATTACAATTATAACTACGATTGCCTTGAGACAGTGTCCGTTCAAAGCCTTACACTCGGGCTTCACACTTTAAATCGGAGTTTTTAGTTGTCAAGTTCTTCCCTCACGAAAAGGTTGCTACTGAACTCGCTAAGGGAAAAAACTCAGAAATCGCTCAAGCAGTAATGTGGTCTACGTAGAAGCATTTCGGCGACGCCTTTTCTAGCGGGGCTCTTCATCAGCCATGGACTAAAGTAAAGAACAGAGAAAGGAACAAGTCTTAATAACGATGCAATGAAGACAAAAAACAACTTTTCTTTAGTTTACTTCCGCTGGGACAACTTAGCATTGTAAAGAACATCTTTTCTTGATTCTGAGAATTACAAATGTTTCAGGAAATAGAGTGGAAATAGAAGATGTCGAAAAAAATAAAATTTTATTTCAAATGATCTTAAGGAATTGTAGAAAAGGGAGTTGGAGGTAGAAATGTCGAAAAATTAAAAATCAGCATCCTATCTCTGTTTATATTGAGACAATATGCCCACATCAACACTAACCCCACTGAAGGGCCGATCAATAGTTTACAGTTAAAAACATTGTCAAAAGCAAAAGATGGATCATAGCCAGTTTTGTTCGTTAAAATAGACTAATCGATCACAAGAAAAGAAGGCGTACTTTATAGGAATCTACGAAATTACCACAATTCGGCCACTTGAATGGGAAAAGTGCGGCAACGTGCTAACCACACTTTTATCAGCAACCGGGGAAACGAAACTGAAGAGTGTGCCTTTCAGATTAGTGACGGCGTAGGACTTGAAGAGAATAAAAGGAGAGAGGGAGGACTTTTCCTTTTTTTCCTACCCGGACAAAGTCCGAAGCCATGCATTATGCAGCCAATATTTACGAAAAAGTAATCGTAAATGATAAACTCCAGGAAGGCAGGGTAGGGCACAAATCGACTAAGCACGGGACAAAACAATCGGACTACAAAGAACGTTGACGTACTATGTGTACTTATTGATTCCCAGTACTAATCAATACTGTACAAATTATTGAGTGAATCGGAACAAAAACAACGAAATACATTCCTCTGACTTGTATAGTCATGGAATGCACTCTGTGGAAAGGTCATGGTGCTAGAGTTCAAAATAAAACATGAATGACTACGAAGTTTTTGATGTTAACAAACTCCGCCCATTTCAGGATGACTCCGCCCACATGTGCTACATCCACTCAATACAGCAATTACATTTGAATGCGTACTCTCCCCATACAGCGTTTGGAAAGCTGGGGGCAGCGAGATGAATCTCCGCTCGTGCCATCCCGAACAAATCCTATATCAATTAGGTGAATTTGAAGGTGTTGAAACCAAAGGAATGGTAGTCCTAGGTGGGTATCGATTGAAGATTTGATCTCCGGATCATACCACTGGTAGCGGCAGCCGTCGGACTATGTACATATCCTACCTCTACATGGGGAGAGTTGTTAAATACATATCGTAAGGTTGCTACATTTTGGAAAAATGACTCTATCACTACCAGAATCGCATAAAAAATAGGATAGAGACCATTTTGTTGATGTAACATTGGAAGAATCGGGATTAGTCACGAAATCAATGGAAGGTTCAGCTTACAATTAGTCACCACGTCGAAGCTCCGATGAGCGCTATTGATCAAGGGAGGCGGATACATGGCGTTCGAGCTTGAAATATTGGCTTTTGGCTGTCATCTGAACTCTCGTGATCCTTCTCACCTATCTTTGTGACCACATACTTGCTAGTTTGATTGTATCTGACACAAATCGGCAAAGGCGCAATATGTCACCTCACGCCCTCCTTCACAGCTGTTCTGGCCACTTTCCAAGCAGCACGTGCCGCAGGATGATCCCATTTTAATAAATTAATTTAATCATTTGGGATGTATGTAGTGCCAAGTAAAACACCAGTACACTCATAGTGGTAGGACCCGTATCATGGATTCATACCCGCCCATTTTGTTGGTTGCATACCCTGTCAAACACCGCCACGATTCTGAATGGATGTCAAGTGCAGGGCGCAACCTAAACATCGGTGGCCGGATGCAATAACTGGCTTATCTATGATGCCGGTAGACCAAAAGTACCATGTTAATAAATTATACTTACCACCTGAGAGTAATGCCAAGTAAATCGCCACTGGGCTAATGGAGGAGGATCCTTATCCCAGATCGGTATCCGCCCCAGCCAACCAAGCCTTCCGTCCCTCCGAGGCCGTTAATAGGCAACAGACTTTTCTGGGAAGATAAAGGCTTTGACTTAAACAACGGCAGACAACTGAAGCCATTCTATAGGCCACATACGCTTTCAAACGCCGCTACGATCCGAGTGGATGTCGAGTGCAGGGCGCTAAGGAGGGCTTAATTTCCGCAATGATTCATCCTTTTGAAATATGATTGAGGCGACCATGCAACAGTCGGCTAGTGAACCATGCCGGTGGGGTAGAAGGACCATTTCTGCGGTTCCTGAGCAGATCGGCAACTCGAGTAAACACTTACTAACAAAACTAACATAGAACTTTTTATTTCCACAGAAAATTTGTCCCTTAAAAGAGCACAGGTGCTAGACACACGTCTACAATAAAACTCCTCTTCTATCTATTGCCTTCGGTGGCTAGTCCGAATGAGAACTGTCTTCTTCACTTGAGTCCGTCTTCTCATCGGTTGTACTTTTTCGAAACTTCGAGTATACACATACTACTATGAATAAAGCTGTTACCACAGCGAAATAGCCAGCATACACAACAAACTGAAATATATGAAGCCGATTAGAAGCAAGGGGCTTATCGAAGCCTTTTGAGGAGCTCACTTGTGTTCTGATATCCAGATTAAGACCATGAGAATCAACAACAATCAACGTCAAAGCAGTCTGCAAAACTACTGCCACGAAGGTATTCCATCCAAATACCAGACCGTAGGTTTCGGTTGTTAGCTGGCATGCAATGTTGGTACTAAAAGAAACTTATCAGAAGCGCATGCTTGCAATGAAACATCATAGAAGTCCATTATAAGTAACTAATACTCCCCAGTAGTAGTTAGTGGTTCATGTGAAAGCAATTGAAATTGGGCACCATAATAGTTAGGAGTTCAAATAAGAAGATAATAAAAGAACGAAAGTTTATAAATCAATAATACCAATAGAATTAAGAAAATATTATTATTAAAAAGAACTTTTGAGAAAAATTCAGGTAAGTAAGAATAGGAAAATACTTAGAAATAAAACTAGATAAAACGGTGATATTTCATTTTTCTAGCGAATGTCCCTCTATGGACTGTAATTTCGGCTACAAAAATTCCGCTCCCACACTGGACCCTCTCTACGGGAGATTCGCAGAAAACTTACCTTACAAGGTTCGAAGAAATGTCTGTGGCTCGAATTTCACTGAATGTCTTTTAAACGTGTAAATACTCAAAGGAGGCACCCACTTATCTGGTCCTACCTATTGGCCCCTTCCAACTACCAGCACCAGCAATTCACCCAGTTCATAATTAAGCGCAGCTTTTCAGTTAAGGTAATTCCAGGGTGGGTGGAGGTGGTGTATTGGCAAGTTGGGCTTAATCACGCTCGCATGGTCCAAAGATCGAATCTTGAATCGATGTTCGCTGGGCCAAACAAGTCTTTTATCCCCCAGGGGTCGCCTGATTAGTACCAAACTCGTCTGGCAGGATAGGGGCACTGACTTTCAGATGGTCACCGCAATTCTTCTGTAGGCTGCGTACGCATTCAAAACGCTACTACGATTATGAATGGAGGTCGAAAGCGCGGCGCATCCCAAAAATTGGATCAACTAACGTCAACAAGTTTACCTTTGATCGTTTCTGATCATTCTGTGGAGATGTAAGCCATTTTCAAATTTTCAAAATTCAATTTAAGTAGATGATTAAGTAGAAGGAAAATTCAAAAAAAAAGAGTTACCTAGCAACTGTGATAAACAAATGGTAAGTTGACGTAATGCATACGTATCCGATATAGGCGATCAGAACTTGTTGTGTTTGTGATATAACAGCAAGTATGATGGCAATAAACACTGAGGGAATAACCAAAGCGACCGTTTCGTACCGAACCCAGCTGATAGCAGCGAATTGAACGAAAAATGCAAGAATCGCACCTGAACTACCATCTAAAAAAGCTCCATGAAAAAAGTAACATTTGTTTCATTAAAATTTCAACCACAGGGGTAGATTTTGGTGGAGAGACCGTGAAACTACTTGAAATGCCGGTACTATTGAGTCTTGAAAACTGCAACAGCGGAATAAATATTCTGATCGATAGTAGCCCCAACGCCTAAACGCAGGCGGGTAACCATAGAAAGTATAAACGGGATGCCACAGCGTGATTCCGTACGGTGAATCGTTCAAGTTACTTATGCCCAATAGAGTTTCTACGAAGAATTACTCAAACATGAAACCTTCTCCAGGTAATGTCAACTACATGCACATCAGATTAGAAGTAGTGGAGTCAACGGACTTCCTTCTACAAAACCCCAGAAGTCCTATGGCTAAATCGTCAGACCGAGGCAAATCCAATTACAAGCGCCATGTATTTCTCGAGGTTCATACTGAATAAGTAATTCAGTGACAAGAACAATTTGAACTCACCAATGAGGGTGCTCACAAATTCTACTAGACCATTCTCAACTTTATCTGGATCAGGCTGCATTTCGAGCCAGAGTGACTGTATATAATTGAATACCTGTAAATAAAATTGGATACTGATTATTTCCAATTAGCTGAAACCTCACAATTTTCAGAGAATTTGAAAGAGGCGCGTACAACGAACGAACCACTAAGGGGCTGGCAGAGTATCTATTAGTGGCCAGGGTTCTACACCCACCGCCCGATAGCTCCGCCCACTCCCAAAAATCAAGAACACTTTGCGCGTAGCGACGCAGTTCCGTGCTACACTAAGGTTATATATCCTATTCTGTAGTGTATTCGGAAGCATCAGTTCTGTACCAATATCGACTGCTGCCAGCTACTTCAGTGGCAGACAGGTGTCTATGGTGTCGAATTCATCACTCGGATACGACTATGGATATCAAAAAACGGCAACGTCGCTTATTTGATTGCTCAGGTAGGGGACCACGCGGATAGTAGAGAAAAGCCCCATCATCTTTCAGGTCCCTAGGAGATAAGACAGCTTTTGACAGCTTGGACTACTAATATTCTACAAGGGAGTAAGCCAACATTTAGAAGAATTCTATGACGCCTGAGCCGCTCAGTCATAGAGTACAGT